CCGCCCGGGTCCTAATGCCGGCCCCTCCCCGGGACGCCGCCGGCCCGCAGCCCGCAGCCCGCCATCCTCGCCAGCCAGGTTGGCCGCGCCGGCCCCGCGCGCTGATTGGATAGAGAGGGGGCTCGACGGTGGCCGACGCGGGACAGTCTGGCGGTGGCAGGGGTCTCGGAAACCATGGGTTATTGCAGTGGCAGGTGCACGCTTATCTTCATCTGTGGCATGCAACTGGTAAGTGACACTTGGGTCCTGTGCTTCTGCGCTCTGCCTTGGAGGTAGTGGCCGGGGAGGGCTTGGCAGGGACGAGGGTGGACGAAAAATGAAGAAAGAAGGCTACCGAGAGAGTGGCTGCATTGGAATACTTGGGGACCTGCCGTGTGGGGTGCCGCGGAGGTGAGCCTGTCGCCCCTGTTCACCCATTCCCGTCTCTCCAAAAACAGTTCGGCAGGTGCGGGTTAAACTTGTGGTCTTTAATTTCTTGAAGCAAGGGGAGCTGTGCCTCTTGTTCCGTGGGCTTCGCCTCCCTCTTCGTGTAGGGGCGTAGTGGTCACACGCGTTTTACTGTACAGGTGTGAAACCGAGATGCAGGATTTTTGACTTTTCTTCCGTGTACTTTGTGCCGTGTCTTTGTTTCTTCATGGACCTGTTATTTTCCTAGGACTATATTGTCTTAATTATAACGGTCTGAAAACCCACTATTTAGGGCAAATGGTATGCTTACAGTAGTCTGATCTGGAAGCCTCCTTGAGTTTTAAAAGTATGCAGATGGACAAGAAATACTCGCATGAACTCAGAAACACCATTGCCACAGACAGAAGCAGTAAGCTTTACATCACAATTATGACAAGCTATGCCAGGGAAGATGTTCTGTTACATGGTGTATGGTATTGCTGTGAGACAGATTGCTCTCTGCTCCCCTAGGACGGAGAATTGTAAGTACTTTCTGAGGAATCTAGTACAGTTGTAAAGAGGCAAGCATCCAATATTGGAAAACGTCATATCTCTGAATTTCAGTTCTCTAAGGGCGACAGGGCAGGGCTGAGGAGAGGGTGTAGAGGTGCAAATTATATGCCAGCAAGTGGTTAATTTGGTAGGAGGTACTTGTTCACTTGTCATCAAATAGCTTTCCTTAGAAAGTATAAATTAATCTGAGTAGTCGTCCACACAGCTTACCAGTTGTTTCCTATAAGCAGAGAGGAGCACGAGGCCGAAGGAGACATTTGTTCGAAAGTTCCATCAGTGAAAAGCATTTGAAAGAAGAAATGCTACTGAATCTAAGAGAAACGTTCTTTAAGTTTCTCTGTTGTTTACCAGTTGTCCTGCAGCTCACTGTGTCTTCCCTGTGGTTTGGGTGAATACGGTAGCTAGCGGAAGTGGTTCTTTTGTTGCATTTTGACTCACGACGCTTTCTTTTCCAGGAAAGTTGTGTGATGTGATCTCGTTTGGCCTGCAGCCTTTCACTTAGTTGTAAGCAAGGGCAGATGTGTCTATCACAAAAGTGTTGTGTTTCCTCAACGATGTGTGGAATACTTTATTTCTATATGCTGCACATTTGTATGTTTTTCATTGAAAGATATTTTTTACTCATGTTGGTAAAGCTAATCAGAATAATGAAGATGTTTACTTGATGGAACCATCCATGTAGACAAATGGTCCACATTATATAAATGTTTTAACATAATTCTCATCTTTATATATGATTCAGAAGAGATTGCCTTTGCTGATTCACAGTGTGAAGCATAATGCAGAATGAGTGGGTGGGAAGAGCATTCTTATGCTCTTTTCAGTTTAAAAATTTTGGACTGTGATTTAACTTTTAATCATTAGTGTAGTGGAGTCTCATTGTTGTAGGAGGAAACTGTATGTATCTGAAAAAATAGCACTCTGTGTGATGCATGTCAAGTTCAACAACTTAAGCAATTTCAGAAGAACTTAAATATACTGGTGGGGAAACTAAGTAGAGGAAGTTGCATAATAAAGATGAAAGCTTCTGTGTGTGCACAAGCGTGTGTATGCACATGCCTATGTGAAGCGGTGTGTCAGAGAAGTGCTAAGTCACAAACCGTATCTGAAATCCTAGCTAAATCGTTTAACATATTAGAGGTAGCGGTAGTCCAGATGTGACTGGCCAAACAGCGAGTACAGGCTGAAGCCGAAGGGATACTTTAAGCTTTGTAGGTATCATGCAGTTTACCACATTCAAATGTTGTGTGTCACCAAGCTAATGTAATTAGCAGCCGTGTTACTGCAGATGCAGAACAGGACGGAAAGGCCAAGAAAACCAATTGCTGTGTAAGATGCAATGTGCAGGTCCTAAAGGACCTTGGAGATTCTTGGCCGCTTTTGATTCTTTGAAACATATTGTTTAATTTGAAATAAAATAATTCTCACACAAATTATAGTTGTAAAGCCCTGCATAAAACAAGTAGCACTGTATGCTTTGCTTTTACTCTTTCTGGATTTTTAATAACTTTATGCAGCTTTGAGCTATATGAATAAAAGTTGTTTTTACAAACAAAGCTGATTTCTGAACTAACTTATAACTAGTATTCTACTGACTAACAAAAATCCATTTTGTTCAGTTCTAAGCTGTTTAGTGTGTGATCTTGTAATATTTGGGCACGTTTTGGTGACTCTCCGGAGTTTTGGATCTATTAAAATTAACTGAAGCCAAAGATAGTTTAATATAACTTTATAAATGTTTTCATCAATTAACTTGAATAAGGCTCTGAATGAACTAGTCTCCATAAGCAGAGTATTGTATTTTAGTTACAGTTAGAAGATTATTTCATGCACATCAGTTTGTAGTCGATCTCCGGAGAGGACGAGGTAACTTCTGCTGTTGTGGGTATGGATGGGTACTTCATTGTTCCGTATACTTTTCAGAGCAGAAAAGTACTTTAACAGTTCAACAAGCGATAGACATAAATATTTCAGAGAAATATGCTGGTTGGAATTAATATCTTTGGTTTTAGTTATATTTTTAAAAGGTACTTCTATTTTAATCTTTGGCCGACTTGAACTGTAGAGAAATATTTTTCTTAAGAAATCAGAAAATCATTTTATGAGACAAACATTTAGCACTTCATACCAAAAATCAGTTAAAACTTCCATTTTTGAAAAAAGCATCTGTGTAGATGGTAAAGTGCAGTCTTGGAGCTAGGTGGTGACACCAGCCTCAGGTTTCACGGTGACTCTTGTGGGAAGGGGGGTGAGCTCTGGAAACAGACGGGCTTTGTGTGCAGAATCCAGAGTTTAAGTTCATAATCTCAACAAGGTGATTTTCCTTTTATCATTACTGTCTGTTATGCTCAGAAACTGAAGATTCAGATAGTATCTGAAATCACTGCATTTGCCGGGACAGATTTAGCAGCACAGGTTAAGAACCGTGTAACTTCTCATTTGAAACTTTCGACAGCTTGGGAAAGAGTTTAGGTTTTCTTTTGCAATGTTTAGTGGAATCAAAGAGTACTTTATATAAATGTTGAAAACCCCTGATATTTCTCAGGAAAAAAGCTTTCAGTCATAATGCAGAAAACTATAACTTATTTTAGATTGAAAAGACAGCTTTGTTTTCCAGCAGGAAGGCTCAGAATTGCCCATAGTTTGGTACGTCAGTCTCCTCTGCGGCATGAAAGCGTATGTCTCATCAACTATTGAAAGGAAGTGGAGATTTACATTCAACACATTAACACTTGTAACTGCCACTCTTGCCATGTGTTCTATGAAATATTGCTGCCTCGGAGCAGGTGCACCTGACGATGAGGTTAGTACACGTGTGTGCAGTTGTGGGCGCCGTCTCACCGAAACCTAATTAAAAATGATCACTTGCTTTCTACTGCACAATTATGCAACTTCTCAGAGATAGACGTACTCAGGAAAGGTCAACGGTTTAGAGATAGTCTAAATAAATTTTTTATTGTAATTATGGAGTAAAGCAAATACTGTGGATTGATGCAGTGTTCGTGATTCTGTGCTCTCTGAGTTCTTCTCAGACTTGAAACCACTGAAATGCAGTGATAGGAAGCGCTCAGGTGATCCTGGCATTTTGCTAGGATACTGTTGAGAAGTTGCACAGGTCTTCAGAAATTTAGGCTGCGAGTGTTCCTGCTCAAAGAACCTTAAATTTCAGATTGAGGCACCATCAATAAAATCTTGAAGCTGTTAACTGGCCTAATTCAAGAAGAAGCCTGACAGTGTCCATGCAGTGCTTTATAAACTTGTGAAGAATAAATGTATGCTCAGGGGCAGGGGAGATGGCTCAGTAGAATAAGCGCTTGCCTGGCAAGCACAAGGGCCTGAGTTCAATCCCAGGTTCAAAAAAAAAAGTATGCTCAGAGGCTGCCAAACTGAAGTAACGTTTTTCCTTATCGTGTTTCATACTTTTGTACAAAAAACCATTTTTCAGCAAGTTCCTGTTTTTACCTTATTCTTTCATTTTAATTCAGCCCTACACTGCTTTGTCTGATGTTTGCCCACAAGGACACAGAATACTTTTCATGCCCAAGTCTATTTCTTGGGTCACACACCAAGTGGCAGCTTCTTATTCTGTTTTCCATCTAAAATGCCAGCGAGCCTGCTTGTGCGTGGCTGTGTCCCTGCTTTCTCAGGTGACGCCGTGGTGAGCAGTGTTGCCTGCGCACTGTTGGTCCTCTTGGCAGGGGATCCCTGCGTGACCCGAGGTCCAGAAGCTCAAGTGGGCAGTGTTGTGACATCACCCCCAGTGCTGCTTGACCTTTTTTTTTTAAAGTAGGAATAATTTATTCAGAGAAAAAAAAATCTTCTGTCTGAGAGGGACAAAAGGGGGCCCATAAAGTGGGTTGCCCTCAACCCTGCTTCTGAAAGGTGTTCTGTTGAGCAAAGCCATGAGGTGAGGCAGGTTCAACGTGGGACAAAACTACTGTCAACCAATAGGAGACACATATGGTCACTTAGGTAGTATTGATCCAATGAGAAATCACCAGGTGGATGTGAGGTGGGGCAAAAATATGGTGAACCAGTAAGATTACAAGTATAGTCACTAGGATCGTATTGATTAAATGGGGATCAAATAGGGAAACAAGTCACATAGCAAGCACACGTGGGCAGAAAAAACTTCCCTGGAAGGGGGGTTTAAAGGTGGTTTGGTCCTCCATTCCAAGGTGATTGATGCCAATTTATAACATCAATCACTGCTGTTCATTTCTAAAGGAAGGATGTGGGAGAGCAGTTTCTTTTCTTTTGAAGCCTGG